ACTCTTCATTTCACTGATTTTTTTGTACTGTTCTCTTTGACTCCATTTCACCGAATTCTGCTATGATCTTTGTAATTTCCTCCCTTATATGAATTTTGGGTTTTTCTTACTCTTCTTCTTCTGGAAGCTTGAGTTTCAAAATTAGATTGTTTATTTGTCCTTGCTTTGTTTTCCTAATGTGGGCATTCACTACTTAGAATTTCCCTCATAGGACTGCTTTCACTGTGTCCCATAAATTCTGGTATCTTGCATGGGCATCATTATTTCATTGGAGAGATTGCCTGATTTCTTTTTTCATTTCCTCTGTGGCCCAGAGGAAATTTCCATCCATTTATGGAGTTGTTGTTGTTTTTGCTGTTAATCTCTAATTTCATGACACAATGAAAAGTATAAATAACTTAAAGAACAGACAAAAGCATGGATATTAGGAAACAGGAACTTAGACATTTTTTTTAAATGTCAAAAAGATATAATTATAGAAGACAGAAATGGGAGAAGGAAATAAAAGAATAGAGATGAATTATGTACATGTACCAACTCCTTTCAGTGAATATAATTATTAAGTATAAGTAACATGCACTAATAATAAAAGGCAAAATTTTTGATGAGTATGTGAATAAAAAGTAATCATTGTGCAGTTAATGCAATCAGCATAGATTATAATACTAAAGTTTCTCAAAAAAATAAAAATAGATCTACTATGCAATGAAGCATTTTCAGTACTGGACTAATGTCCAAAGGATGTGCATCCAACATCTTAGAAACCATCTATGCTTCCGTATATATTGCAGTGCAGTTCACAATACCCTAGATTGGGGATTAACTAAAGAGTCTACCCATTGGATAGACAAATGTTTAAAGAAATCCTGCCAAATATACACAGTCAAAGAGTATGTAGGCAAATGAAATAAATTAAATCCTATCATTGGCAGCAAAGCTGATGAACCTGAAGAACATTATTCTAAGTAAAATAAATCAAGGACAGAAAGGTATCTATTATATGATCTCTTTCCTATGTGGAATTTGGAAAAGTTTACCTTATAGATATATAGAGAAATGGAGAATATCAGACATTTATGTATTTATGTAGGTAAATACTGGAAAAATTGGGGGCACAATATATAACATTTCAGATAGGAAGAATATGTTCAAGAGATTTACTGTACAAGATTATAACTATAATTGGTGATAGAATATTGTATTCTTGAAATTTTCTGAAGGCATATTGTCTCACCACAAAATGATAATTATATATGATTTTGTGCATATTACATTTTTATATTTAATCATTTTGCAATATATAATGCTTGTAAACATAACAAACAATAAATAATAGTTTCATTTGTCAACGTAAAAATACATGAAGTTGAAAAATAAGACAAATTTGGAAAGACTTCTGTTGTTCACTAACATTCCAGACATTAAATAATCCATTATATCCTCAAATAACCTTTACTGGAGATATAGAGATGCTTCTTCATATCTTCTGCATTTAGAAATTAGTCTTTCCTCAGGGGATATCTTACTTTTAAAAATCAGACTGAAAAAAAAAGGATTTATGTTTGCAGGTAAAGAAAAAAACAAAAAGCCTGTTTATTCCTCCTTATTGCTGCCCACATGGACACAAAATTGTCTGAAAACTTTTCATCCCACCCTCTTCTCTATACACCAAGGAAGATGAATTATTTAGAGAACAGACAGACAGTAAAACAATTTATTTAATGAGGAGCTCTGAGAATTTTACCTGTGACATGCTTGAATCTTTAAACATTCCCTCATTGCCCATGATCTCTACTGGTCTACTTCCAATGTCTGTTAAAACCCAAATGGGTTTAACTGGAACTGGTAGTAGAGAAAAGAAAGCTTCAGCTGTAAACATCAGAGGGAGCCCATGTTCTAAAGTCAGCCTGGCAGAGTTAAAAAAAATCAAGTGGGTATGGACCTTAATCTTTATTTCTCTAGAATAAAGATGCTAATATCACCTCAATTTTACCTAGTCTGTGAATGTGAAGTCTCGGTACTTTGAAGAAATTTTAGTTTCCATAAAATCTTGTCTTATTGGGACCAGGGATGCAGGTCAGAAGTGCAATGCCTGGAAAATTTAAGGTCCTGAGTTCAATCCTGGTGAAACACAACAAACAAACATATCTTATCTGGCTATCCTGCTTTTTTCCCACTCTTTGAAAGCTAGAGTCACTGTCCAAAAAGATGTATTTTCTGGACAGGCTCCAATTCTCCACACTTTCCCACGTAATGTAGGCTTCGGTCAGAGTTTATGACTAGGATTTTACCCATTAATTAGAAATAAAAGCTACTGTGCATTACTTGTTGTCCACTTTGTTCAAATTCACTGGATGCTTTTTTTCCTAAGAACTGAACCTAGGGTCTTCAAACTAAGCTTTCTTTCATTATTTTTTTTCCCCTTTGAGATAGAGTCTTACTATTGCTGAGTTACCCAGGCTGGACTCAAAATTTCAACCTTCTCCCTTACATCCTCAAATCCTGGGATTATGGAAATGCAACACCATACCTGGCTTACATTCTCTATTTTAGTAGCAAACAAAACCTTATTTTACTTCTATATTTTTCAATTCATTATTTTACCCTAATATCCACAGTAGCAACTTCCAATAATGTAACTATCCCTGATGTTTTATACTTAGCTAGATTTCCTTGTTTTTCATATTACTAATCTCATTGAATGTTCAAAAATATTTTGAATGATTTAATTGGAAGTAGTGTGTTTTGGCTTATTCAAGTATATACACAAACTATTGTGATGTTGAATGACTTCTCCACTTATGAAGTGATGATATTATTCCCATGTATCATTTTATGTTGGATGTGGTTATAAAAAACATTCTTACTGACGACAGCAATCATCTCTGGTTTCTTCATTTACTGACAGGCTCAGCCATAGCTGTAAAACACAGCAACAGCTGTTTCACTTTTCTTAAATGCAGTTTTTATAGTATAATTGTATTTAGCAATTAAATTATGGTGACCTGTTTTGGGGATGTTATGTTTACTAACCTTCTTTAGTTAATTCACTTTCCATTTCTAGAAATGGAATTAGTTCTCTATATGTGCTTTTTAAAAATAGATATGAACACATTTTACTTATCTTTAATATTGAATCTTTCTTTTATCTTCTGGGATACAAGTTTGAAGGTAATTTTTTGTGATAAAATTAACATTTAATTTTCAAACCTTGTTGGATACATTCAGCATCATTGATTCAGCACACACAATGTGACAGTCATCACATAAGCACGTTAAAAGATAAGTGATTGGGTTCCAACATTAGACCACAAGAAAAGGTAAGATTTACAGTGGGGCAGGGACATTGAGGAAGACTGAAGAGAGCTCTCACATGGATCTCCCACGCTTCCTCCTTCCTGATGTTCTACCACTGCTCCCCATTTCACTGGCCCTTCAAATCCTCTCCTATACCGAGTTCACTGACAGAGTGGGTGTTTCCATATTCTCTTCTCACAGTCTAGAATGTTTCTTCTTTCCTAATCTCTTCTGATTGAAAACGATCCATCTCTCCTGTCTTGGCTCAAATATGACTGTCTTAGTGAAGACTCTCCTCAATACTTTCCCATGAGAAATAATTTCCCAATATAATTTTTTCTTTTTTTTCCCTTTAGAATTCATTCTGTAGGTATTCATAATGCTGAATCTTTTTCTTTATAGAGATTGTAAATATTTATTTTCAATCTTATATTTGTATTTTAGGATGTTACAATGATTTGCAGAAGTCTTGAATGTTTTTGTTGAAGCCAAAACTTATTAAATGTGTTTATTTTAACACAAATCATACTCACTCAAGAATATGAATGCAAGAGCACACACATCCTTCAGGGTTTGTATTTGATTTTAATGATAGTGTGCTATTCTTCCTCCTTCATATCTATTCAGCCCACCCCTTTTCTTTCATTTTAGAAGAATTCATCAGGAAGGAAGTCTCAAAAGGAAGGACCTTAGGAGTCTTCTCCAATTAGAAGTGCTTTATAGCAGTGTAAAGGGGTAACAGAGAAGTTCTGTTGATAAATATAAAATTCCATCTTTGATGGTTTGTCCCAGTTTAAATTGGTAAACAGTAACCATAAAGACAAATTTGTGAATATATTAATAATTGAAGTTATCATTTATGAACTAGTCCCTTCATGTTATAGGAACAAAACTAGACTATTTATATCAACTTGTCATTTAATCTCTTTATTCAGTCCTGTCATACAGTGAATATTTACTACTCTTGCTATAGTTGTAAAGTACTTATGACCAAAACAGTTAAAGTAACTTTCTCAAGGTCACACAGATGAAGAATTGGTAACCCCAAATTCTATTGCAGGAAATCTGACCCAAGAACCCCATTTCTAAATTAATTGTAATTTTGTACAATAGATAGGAAGGCAGGCAAAATTATTACAATATGGGAGAATAATAATAATATGAATAACTAACTTCTTGAGAATCCTATAGCATGGAAAGGTACTTTAATCTTCAACACTAAGATAATACTAATCACCATATCTTTAGGAAAAATAAGGGCCTGTGAATTAACTGGCACAACACAAGGAATCCTCAAATTGTACAAAAAATTGAGTTATAAATCCCTATTTTATCACACAGATACATTGGATATGAATAGTGGGAATAATCTATGATAATAAACAAACACCTTCAAATATTTTAGAGGGGTCTTGAGAAAAGAAATGAATTTGTCTATAAATTCAAAAAAGAAATGAAAAGGATTTAGAAGCTGTGACACAAGTAAGATTTATGTTAAACTAAAGACATTTTGAATGATCACAAACAATTAAAATGAAAATGAGCTACACCTTGGCTAAGTGAATCACTTTACTGTGAATCTCACAAGGAGGGTGGGTGACACCCGTCTAAATGTAATATTGTATTGTGCTACATTTTGAGGAGACAGCTGTCTGTATTTTAAAAATAGCTTGTGCTTCCTTCTTAAGCAGAAAGTCAGTGACATGGAAGTAGAAAATCACACCGGAGCTTCACAGTTCCTCCTCCTCGGCCTCTCAGAAGATCCTGAATTGCAGCCCTTTCTCTCCGGACTGTTCCTGTCCATGTACCTGGTCACAGTGCTCGGGAACCTGCTCATCATCCTGGCCACCACCTCTGACTCCCGCCTCCACAGCCCCATGTACTTCTTCCTCTCCAACTTGTCCTTTGTGGATGTGTGTTTCACCTCCACCACAGTCCCAAAGATGCTGGTGAACATCCAGGCACACAGCAAAAACATTTCCTACAGAGAGTGCCTTGCTCAGGTATATTTTTTTACTCTTTTTGTTCAGATGAATACTTTGCTCCTTGCTGTGATGGCCTATGACCGTTTTGTAGCCATCTGTCATCCACTAAAATACACAGTCATCATGAATCCTTGGCTCTGTGGCTTCTTGGTTGTGATGTCTTGGTTCTTAAATTTCTGGATCTCCTTGATTCACATTCTGCTTGTGAAGGGACTGAGTTTCCGCAAGGGCACTAAAATCCCGCATTTCTTCTGTGAACTGGCTCAGCTGCTCAAGGTGGCCAGCTCTGATACCTTCATCAATAACATCTTTCTGTATTTGTCAACTGCCCTCCTGGGTGTGTTTCCTGTCAGTGGGATCATTTTCTCTTACACTCGGATAGTCTCCTCCTTGATGAAGATATCCTCTACTGGTAGCAAGTGTAAAGCATTTTCTACCTGTGGCTCTCATCTGTGTGTAGTCTCGCTGTTCTATGGGACAGCACTTGGAGTGTACCTGAGTTCTGCTGTGTCCCATTCTTCCCATGAAGGCTCTGTTTCCTCTGTGATGTACACTGTGGTGACCCCCATGCTGAACCCCTTCATCTACAGCCTAAGGAACAAGGATGTGAAGGGGGCTCTGGGAAGACTCCTCAGCGGAGCTTTCTGCTGTCCCTTGAGGACTGAAGTCCTTAGAACTAAGTGAACACTGTGTCCCCTAAATCAAGTGTTGTGACTTTCCTTGTCCCAGAAAGGAGAAATGTTTATTCCAATCTTTTACACCCTCATTATCAGAAATAACATGTTTTTCCTCCTGTATTAAGCTACTGTCTGATTGTGGAAAATACATGTTTTGTTCTATCAGCCTAGAATGTTTCAGTTTTGTTTTGAATGTTTCCTTTTTTTTCTTAGTTCTTTGTAAGGACAATAACACATCCTCTCTTTCAGTGGCCTCTTAGTGTTTGTGACAGCTTTTTAAATTAGCCTTTTGGTTTCTCCTTTACAGTTACTGTCTTGCAAATTAAATTAAAAGATGGTAACTGCTAATGATTTTCAGTGACTCTTCTTAAATTCTTATATTTGTTTCCTGTTCTGATATCTATATTGAGAATACAATCATGTTTTCATTTTTTGGTACCAGGTATCAAATTCGGGACCTTGAACATGCAAGGCAGGTGGTGGCACCTCTGAGGTAAAACCCTGGCCCAAATTCCATTTATTTTTCTGTCTTTTTTTTCTTTTGCTAGCTAGTATTTCTTTCCAGAGTTCTTCTCATGAATATTTTTCCCTTTTTATATAATTGTGTTTTTTTCCATGCTGAAAACCCCATCATCAGGCAGAAAGAATAAAGCTCTTTCAACTTGTGGGTCTCACATCTCAGTGGCTTACTTATTTTATGGCACAAGCTGTGGAGTGCACATTGACTGGGCTTTACATTCTTCCAGAAATAATGCAGTGGCCTCTGTGATGTACTCTGTGGTCACTTATATATGGCATGTCTTTATTTACAACCTGAGGAACAGGGACACTAAATGCACACCAAGGAGACTCCAGAGTGGAAGCCTGGTTTCAGAGACCTTGAAAACCATTTTGCAACTGAGATCAAAACACACAGCAAAGGGAAAACTCTAGACATGCATTGTGCCTCCTCAGTCTCATTACTTTTGTAGTCTGATTGTTTTAGATCCTCATTATGACTCACAGTAGAATGGGTTAGGGGAGGCAAAGATGGGAACACTTCAAAATGAGTATAAAAATTTAGTTTGAGAAGATGAAAAATGTTCAGGAATGGATGTCATTGGTGGCTGCACAGCAATGTGAATAGATTCTTGTCAATAACCTTTGCAAACAAAATGGAAACTAGCAATTGTAATGTATATTTATCATGGTAAGCAGTAGAAATAAAGTGCAGAAGGATATTTTAAAACATAAACCTGAGAGGGAAAAATTAGCACTGTGTATTTTTTCTCACAGATATAAAATTTAAAAAGTCATTATATTATAGAAGGGAATCAAATGGGGATGGGAATAGCAACAAGGAAAGAGTCCTTGGATATGAAAAGTGTCCACTGTATGCACGGAGAAGTTACATATCGATCATATTAATATATTAAATTAGTTTGTGTTAAGAAAGAAGTAAATATCTAAATATAAGCTTCCTGATGAGTAGAATAAGAGACAACACCCTACAGGAAACATTTATTTTCTGCTTTCTCCTTCCCAGTATAAAATTATCCTTTGAGATTTGAACAACATAGATCAGTTTGGCTAATTATGAATTTAGGATATGGAGGCTACAGGGTCAGTTATAGCAGATCTGCTTCACCTTGGTGGCTCTAGCCCAGTAAACTTGTGCCACCTGTTTCCATGGTTTTCTGAATTAGGAAGCACTAATCTCACATTGTATTCTTATCAGTCCTAAGGACAAAGACAAGGTCCTATCTAGTGACGTCACACTTGAAGAAGGCTTCGTCCTCACCTGTGTCTCTTAATCATGGTATGTCAACTGCATTAGGTTAAGATACCTAGCAGAATAAAAAAACACACTCCTGAATATGTTTGGGTGGGTCATGGAGCCGTGAAATTGGGTACTATATTTGGCTCTCACCCATTGCTCTCTGGCCTTGTTCCCCTACTTTGCTTCTCCAAGCCCTTATACCATGAGCCTCCTACCAAGTACTATTATCTCCTGCAAGCATGCCCTAGATTAAACCATTCCTGTTTTAAGTTGTGGGTGCTGGATATAGTGTCTCGGGAACAGAAAACCTTTTTTTTTTCCTTTTTATTGAGTTTGTTGGCACAATCTAGGTATACAATACAATTACATTCATCATTGGGATTCTGTACCTTTACATAATAGGTCTTGATTCTCATTTTTCCCCCTTGTCCCTGCCCTCCCTTCACTCCCTCCTCCCCACCCCATTTACAAAACTTTATTTCCATTTTTTCAGTTTCTCATATTTTTTCCTCTCCCTTATTACCTTTACCCCACCCTTCTCACTTTCCCTACACCTTTAGCCCTTTATTTCCTATTTCACATTATTAATTATCACATTAGGATCCTGTGTACTATTATAGTTTTTCACACCAAAGAAACTACTCAGTATTTCAGTTAAAGAAATCTTTGTATGAACATTAAAAATAGGGAATCCTAAAATAAAACTAAAAAGGAAAGTAAAAGAGAAAAGGCAATGATGTAACATTAAAATAATCCCTAATTCTGGAGATGAAAATGGTCCCTGAACATATTTAAATTGCTTCTTGCTCTTG